TGCCCTTTCTTTCATTTGCTACTCCAGTGTTGTTTTTATTTCTTAATTTAAAATATATATATATATGTGGGTGTGTGTATATATATATATATGTGTGTGTGTGTGTGTATATATATATATATATGTGTGTGTGTGTGTGTGTATAAACGTATATATATATATATATATATATATATATATATTTGAGACAGTGTTTTACTGTCACCCAGGCTGGAGTGTAGTGACATGATCATAGTCCACTGCAGCCTTGAACATCTGGGCTCAAGTGATCTTCCTGCGTTAGCCTCCCCGGTAGCTAGGACTGCAGATGCATACCACCATGCCTGGCTAATTTTTAAATTCTTTTGTTGAGATGGTTCTCTTGTAATTGGAGAAGAATATTCTTACTCCTTAGAGTTTTAGACTGTGAGTCCCCATTGCTACCACCTTTGTAACTATGATGGGATTGCTTAGGAGCTGTGGTGTGATAGAATGGAGAAAAGGGAAATTTTTGCCACTGTCTCCTGAGTGTTAGTCTCACTACGTTGCCCACGCTGGTCGCAGACTCCTTGCCTCAAGTAATCTACCTGTCTTGGCCTCCCAAGTGTTGGTATTACAGGCATGAACCACCTTGTGCAGCTTATTTCTCATTACTTGACAAAGTTAACACCCTGAGAAAGAAGTGTAGGAAACTAGTGGCAAGTGTAGAGAAAATGAAGCAAAGGCAGTGACAACAGTTACTAATTATGAGGAAAACAAGGGATTGTACAGGAAAATAATCAGGTTTGCCTTCACATGCTTTGTTGTGAATTGCATTTCAATCATTGCAATGTAAAGGCTGAATTTTTTTTTTTTTTTAATGGAGTCTTGCTCTGTCACCAGGCTGGAGTGCAGTGGTGTGATCTCAGCTCGCTGCAAACTACCTGCATCTGGGTTCAAGTGATTCTCCTGCCTCAGCCTCCCAAGTAGCTGGGACTATAGGCATGCACCACCAAGCCCAGCTAATTTTTGTATTTTTAGTAGAGATGGAGTTTCACCGTGTTGGCCAGGATGGTCTTGATCTCTTGACCTTGTGATCCACCGGCCTCAGCCTCCTGCTGGGGTTATAGGCATGAGCTGCCATACCTGGCTAAGGCTGAATTTTCATCTAACCTAGTAATTATCAGCTGGGAGTGATTTTGCTCCCCTCAGGGAATATTTGACAGTACCTGGAAATATTTTTGGGTCACAACTTGGTGGGCAGTACTGTTGACATTAAATGGGTGGAGGCTGGGGATGTTGCCAAACATCCTACAATGCTCAGGACAGCTCCTTTTAACATAGGATTATGTGTTCCAGAGTGTCAACAATGCCAGAGTTTAGAAGCTAGCAAAAACTATAATTTTGTTGGGAGAATGTAAAGATGAGAAAGGTATATGGGATGGAAGTAGACATAGAGTTAATTCCTCATCTTTCATAGTGGAAGTCTGTAGAAAATTTTCCAAACTGAAAAAATAGCTTTTTTTTTTTTTTTTTTTTTGGAGACATGGAGATACATTAAATACAACTAGTTAAAAGAGGGCTAGTTTTTGCAGTGCTGTTTTCCTGTGTGTGCCATGCCGTGGCCAGTATGTGACTTGGGCAGTGGTTTATATTGTAATTTAGTTCTCAAAAGACTATGATCTGTTTATTGTCGAATCATAGCATGTGTAGCTCAGGGTTTAGCCCCAAAATCATACACGATTTTATGGGGCCATTTTCCTGAGCTGCTGTCTCTCTCTCTCCTATCTCCATTGTGTTTCTTAGGTCTCCGGGGCTCTCTTTTTGGTTCCATGGCCAGAAAACCACTCTTAGTGCGAGTACCAGTATCTGGGACCAAGCAACTGGAGGACAGACAGAAAAACAAGCAGTGGTTGGCCTTACTCTTGGGAACACACAGCTCTTGTAATTGGAGAAGAATATTCTTACTTCTTAGAGTTTTAGACTCTGGTCTAAAACTGCTACAACCTCTCTAACTGTGACGGGATTGCTTAGGGGGCGGGGTGTGAGAGAATGAAGTAAAGGAAAGAGAAATTTTCGCCACTGTCTCCTGAGTGTTAGAAGACCCCATTAGACTCCCTTCCTGATCCTTGAGACAGAACTAGAGGGCTTCTGGGGCACTCTCTGCAGATGCCCACTTCTAAATCCTAATCCAGGCCAAAGGGTGGGAAAATGGTAAATTTACTCTGAATACTAGTCTTCTCCAGTTATCCTACTTTTTAGGATTCTCAAACAGCTGTTCCATGCATTGTGTCCAGGTTTTATAGCTGCATTTTATGGAAAGGACAGAGTAATGTGTGCTTATTCCATCTTATCAGGAAGAGGACTCTCTGTAAGCATTTAGAAGATAAACTATATCACTCAGCATGTGTTAGACAGTTTGCTAGACTGTGGGAGTAAATTATGCAAGGATACGGTATTACTGTCTCAGCGAACTAATTTGGAAGGGTTTGTGGATGATAGTAAAAATCAGATAATTGCTGTAATGGAGTGGGAGACTGAGAGTATGTAAGACTGTTCAGGGTAGTCTGATATACCTACATAAAATAAATAATGTTTGTGGGAGCTAAGCTATGAGGATGCAATAGCATAAGAATGATATAATGTGGCCAGGCACCATGGCTCATACCTATAATCCCAGCACTTTGGGAGGCTGAGGCAGGTGGATCACGAGGTCAGGAGATGGAGACCATCCTGACTGACACAGTCTGTACTAAAAATACAAAACCCTATCTCTACTAAAAATACAAAAAATTAGCTGAGCGTGGTGGCACTTGCCTGTAGTTCCAGCTACTTGGGAGGCTAAGGCAGGAGAATCACTTGAACCCAGGAAGTGGAGGTTACAGTAAGCTAAGATCGCATCATTGTGCTACAGCCTGGGTGACAGAGCCAGACTCTGTCTCAAAAAAAAAAAAAAAAAGAAAAAAAAAATGTAATGGACTTTGGGGACTCTGAAAAAAGAGTGGAAGGGAGATGAAGGATTAAAAAAACCTACATGTTGGGTACAGTGTATACTGTTTGGGTGATGGGTGCACCAGAATCTCAAAAGAAACCATAAATAACTTACCCATGTAACCAAAAACCACCTGTTCCCTAAAAACTATTGAAATACAATAAAATAAAAATAAAGGTCGGGGGTGGTGGCCCACACCTGCAATCCCAGCACTTTGGGAGGCTGAGGCGAGCGGGTCACTTGAGGTCGGGAGTTTGAGACCAGCCTGCTCAACGTGGAGAAGCCCCATCTCTACTAAAAATACAAAATTAGCTGGGTGTGGTGGCACATGCCTCTAATTCCAGCTACTTGGGAGGCTGAAGCAGGATAATTGCTTGAACCTGGGAGGCGGAGTTTGCAGTGAGCGGAGATCACGCCATTGCACTCCAGCCTGGTGACAGAGCGAGACTCTGTCTCCAAAAATAAATACATGAATAAATTAAAATTGAAAAGGAGATAGTGTTTGTAAATCTCAAAGGGATGAATTAGGAGTTTGCTAGATGGGCAAGAGAAAAGAGTAGATAGAGCATATGGGTGGCAACTTATGATAGTTTTGAGAATTAGGTGTCTGTGGGTATAAAGAACATCAGAGTCATAAAAGAGGTTACACATGTGGGCAGGGACCAATCCCAAATGCCATGTAACAGAATTTAAGTTTTTTTGTCTTAGATAATGCCGTAAGAGTTACATGTTACATTTTTTGTTTTTAGTGTATATTCAGGCTAAGCTCCTTTTCCCCATGGTTGTTCTGTATCGAGATGATTACTGTACAAACAGCCCTGTCATTCATTTCCTATTAAAATGTTACATTTATTTTATAGTTTAAAAGTACATTTTTGAGATTTAGTTTGAAACCTGTAAACAGCCGACAATTATTTAGTGTGTTAGTACTATTTAAGAACATATATATATATATATATATATATATATTTTTTTTTAGAGACGGAGTCTTGCTCTGTCACTAGGCTGGAGTGCAGTGGTGCGATATCAGCTCACTGCCACCTCCGCCTCTTGTGGGTTCAAGTGATTCCCCTGCCCCAGCTTCCCGAATAGCTGGGACTACAGGTGTGTGCCATCATGCCTGGCTAATTTTTAGTAGAGACAGGGTTTCACCTTGTTGGCCAAGATGGTCTTGATCTTCTGACCTCGTGATCCACCTACCTCGGCCTCCCAACATGCTGGGATTATAGGCATGAGTCACCATGCATGGCCATTATTTTTAATTTTAAAAAATGACTCTAAAAACCAGTGGACTTGAATCTGTCTCTAACAGTTACTGGGAAAAGGGATTACCAAAAATGCTTAACAGTGGAAAAAGTAATTGATAACTGCTTAATGACTGTTGTAAATTGATGAATTTTAACTTGTATGTTTCATAATAAAGGAGTTTATTTTCTTAATTACATATGCGTACATGCAATATACTGTGTATTTATATGTAAAAGAAATATGTCTTTCCCTCCTTTCCTCATTGTACATGGAAAAGACAATTTAGGGTTTTCAAAAATGAATATATTTGAAAGCTAGAGGTTCTGCAGATGAGGCTCTTTGGGAAGTCTAGTGTATTAATGAGCAACAGAATATTGGTTTCTTATCCAGTATTTCTTGGTAATATTTTATATGTGAAGATTATGTAGTAGCAAACATTTTAAAATGTAATTTTATGAATATATTTACTTGTGTTCTTGGAAATGTTGCCAGACATGAGAGGAAGTGGAGTTTTTGTTGCTCACTTTTGTTAGTGAGCTCTTAAGCTTATCTCTGCATTTGTGAACAGAGGGTCCACAGATTCAGAACAAATTGTATTAAAAGTGAGATACATTTGGTATCTTCTCTCTAAGACTCATCTTCCCCATAGTAATTTCCCTCAAATATTAATCGCTTCCTTGAACAGTACTGCTTTTGGTCCCTTTTTTAAGTTGGTGGGTCAGGTATGAAGCACTTAAATAGGTTAAGATAAATCATTAATAGTTTGTAAATGTAATTTTTGTATGTGTTTTGTTTTTGACAGCCGATTTATTTTGCATATTCCCAGCGAGGAAAGAGACAATGCAATCCGAGTGTGTTTTCAGATTGAACTTGCCCATTGGTTTTACTTGGATTTCTACATGCAGAACACACCAGGATTACCTCAGTGTGGGATAAGAGACTTTGCTAAAGCTGATATCCTTTTTATTACTGTAATGACTATCTTTCTTGTTAGTAAAATATTTTAGCAAAATTTCCTTTTGCTTGTCTTTTCAGATTTTAAAACTAACAGAGAAAAACCTCCTTGATTGCTAAAAATTGTCAAACATAAACAGTAAACACAGTTTAATACTCTTTTATGCAGAGCACTCCTTGAAATGTACACTGATTACATTTGATTTTTTTTTTTTTATGAATAGCTATCCTGTAACTTTTACTCTTGCTGCTCCATGTAACCAGATGATCTTTAATCAGATTACTGCCTTTCTAATTTATTTTTCTTTTTTTTTTAAGAGACAGGATCTTGCTCTGTCGCTCAGACTGAAGTGCAGTGATGTGATTCTAGCTTACTGTAGTCTCGAACTCCTGCTTAAGCAATCTTCCCGCCTAGCCTCCGAATAGCTGGAACTACAGGCATGCACCATCCCTGCTAATTTTTTTAAATGTTTTGTAGAGATGGGAGTCTGTCTTTGTTGCCCAGCTTAGATTTGAACTCCTGGCCTCAAGCACTCCTCCTACCTTGGCCTCCTAAAATGCTGGGATTAGAAGTGTGAGCCACTGTGCCCAGTGAAATATATTAAATATTTATTGAATGTTTACTATGTTTAAAGCAGTATTTTTAGTTCTGTGGCAAATAAAAAGTCCTTGCTTGGTGCGGTGGCTCATACCTGTAATCCCAGTACTTTTGAGAGGCCAAGACTGGTGGATTGTCAGAACTCAGGAGTTTGAGACCAGCCTGGGCATCATAGAGAAATCTCATCTCCACCAAAAATACAAAATTACCTGGGCATGGTGGCGTGCACCTGTGGTCCCATCTACTCGGGAAGCTGAGGCAAGAGGATTGCTTGAACCTGGGAGGCACAGGTTACAGTAAGCTGATACCGCAGCACTGCACTTCAGCCTGGGCAATAGAGACTCCATCTCAAAAAAAAAAAAAAGTCATCCTTGCCTTCAGAGAAGCTTTTCGCCCCATGTACTTTCCAGGCAAAAACTTGTCATGATTTATTAGTTATGAAAGTTTCACTTGAATATTTAAGATTATAAAAGAAGCTGTGTCATAAGGCAAAGAATTGAATAATTGCTCTTGGTTCTGATAGTACATGTTTCTAGAATTTGGAAAACTAGTGGAAACATTTTAGGCAAAGCTATAGGATTTCTCCAGAGAACTGGAGAAATCTTCTCAGAAATGGGGAATATGTTTTAGATAAAGAAAAACTGGAGATTTGAAAAAAGGTTATCTCAAGAAATAAGTTTGCATTGAACAGGTCTTCCCATGGGGCCAGAATATGGTTAGAAAGTCATATGGGGAGATGATGGGATTGTATGGGTTCTTAAATCTTGAGCCAAAGCACTTTGATTTTTATTTATTTATTTATTTCCAGACAGAGTCTCGCTTTGTTGCCCAGGCTGGAGTGCCATGGCGCGATCTCGGCTCACTGCAGCCTCCACCTCCAGGGTTAAACTAGAGTTGGAGTAGGGCTTGAGAACCTGAAATACCCTCATTCTCAGCCACCTATCACTTTGCTTTAGCTTCATGAAATATGGAACCCTTAGGTCTCTGTAGAAAATGGATGAAACAGTATGTGTTCTATAATAGTTAACTGTTAACCATAGCACATTTTTGAGCAAGGGTAAAGAATATTACTCTGATCATTTGAAAATGGTATCCAAGATTTATTGGTTGATCTGTTACATCACTTGAGATTCAAGGCAATAAGGTCGTGAACTATAGTAGTGGGAGTAAAAAGGAAACACTGATGCCAGACAGATTTCAAAGGAAGAAATGATCAAACCATTTGATTAAATGTATAGATGTTAATGAGGAATCAAAGGGGAATAGAAATATATTGAGCACTATCTTTGTTAAATGCCTTGGTGATAGGTTCTCTGGAGAAATCATAGTAGACTGGTGTTCAGGAGTTATCATCTAGTTATGGAAACATTAAAAAAACCAAGTCCTCTTTTGCTTTGGTCATGTCGTATGGACTTATAGCTCTACTAGAGCAACTTTACATACTTTAGGGTTTTCAGTAACATTTTGTGTGTGTTTGTATATGAGTTTTACACTTTTCCTGCTATTAAAAAACACCAAGAGGTGGCTTATGCCTGTAATCCCAGCACTTTGGGAGGCCGAGGCGGGCAGATCACAAGGTCAAGAGATCGAGACCATCCTGGCCAACATGGTGAAACCCCATCTCTACTAAAAATACAAAAATTAGCTGGATGTGGTAGCGCGTGCCTGCACTCCTAGCTACTTGGGAGGCTGAGGCAGGAGACTTGCTTGAACCTGGGAGGCAGAAGTTTAAGTGAACCGAGATCACACCACTGCATTCCAGCCTGGGTTACAGAGTGAGACTCCATCTCAAAACAAAGAAACAAACAAAAACCAAAAACATCAAGAATCTTTGTTTTAGGTTTTTGTTTTTTGTTTTTTGAGACAGAGTCTTGCTCTGTCACCCAGGATAGAGTGCAGTGACGTGATCTCAGCTCACTGCAACCTTTGCCTCCCGGGTTCAAGCAGTTCTGCCTCGCCTCCCCAGTAGCTGGGATTGCAGGCATGTGCCACCATGTCTGGCTAATTTTTTTTTGTATTTTTAGTAGAGGTGGTGTTTCACCATATTGGCCAGGCTGGTCTCCAACTCCTGACCTTGTGATCTGCCTGCCTTAGCCTCCCAAAGTTCTGGGATTACAGTGTGAACCACCACGCCTGGCCCTAGGTATGTTTCTTTTTTTTTTTTCTTTTTTTTTTTTTTTTTTTGAGACGGAGTTTCGCTCTTGTTACCCAGGCTGGAGTGCAATGGCGCGATCTCGGCTCACCGCAACCTCCGTCTCCTGGGTTCAAGCAATTCTCCTGCCTCAGCCTCCCGAGTAGCTGGGACTACAGGCGTGCGCCACCATGCCCAGCTAATTTTTGTATTTTTAGTAGAGACGGGGTTTCACCATGTTGACCAGGATGGTCTCGATCTCTTGACCTCATGATCCACCCGCCTCGGCCTCCCAAAGTGCTGGGATTACAAGCGTGAGCCACCGGGTATGTTTCTTTTAAGTTAATTAACTAAGAATAGTTATATGGAGAAGGAATGTTTAATGTGGTACACTTCAGTAAATAACTACATGGTTACTCTGTGCCAGGCATTATGCGGTGAGCAGAATGGACTCAATATCTTCCAGAAGATTAGACAAAGACAGGAAAGGAAATGATTACAGTGCAGTGTGGTAAGATGTGATACGGAAGCACAGTGTTCAGTGGGAACAAGAAGAGGGATACCCACTTAAGATGTGGGGGCTGTGAGTTTGATTCACATCTTGGCCACTCAAAAATCTTGGGTAGGTTTTAAAATTTCTCTTAGATGAGGATCCCAGTTTCCACCTAAAAAATAAGGTTATTAATAGTGTCTAATTTGAAGGGTAAGTTTGAGAAGCAAATATATTTGTAAATGTAAATCATTTACCTGGCAGAGTGATCAATAAAGTTAATAAGTAGTTGATAAATGTTAACTAGTACTCCAGTAAAAAAGATTTGGGAGCTAGGTAGAAGCCTTCTTTGAGATAGTGATTTATGTGAGGAAAATCTGAGGAAGTGAAAAAAGTTAGTGTATTTTAGACTAAATGAGAAAGATAAGAGATGATGCTACAGAGTAATTCAGGGGCTTAAACACGTAGGGTTCTTGTGAACCATATTTCTTTAAAAAAAATAATACAAATTAAAAAATATCTTTTAGTTTGGGAAAAAACTTCAACTTTCAGAGATGGTGAAAGCACATGACTGAACTGCCATCATACCCATCCGTTTTCTTCCATTATTAACATTTTTCCACATTTGCTAACTTCTCCCTATAAGGGTGTTTTGCAAGACCACTGTGGAATAGTGTGAACAGTGAATTGGAGGAAGTCAAGACTGGATTCGGGGAATCTAGTTAACATGCTATTTTATATTTACTAGAGAGAGAAAGAAAACCTGTGGTAATAGAAATGAATAAAAGAGGTCAAATTTGAAAGATATTGAGGAGGTAAGATTGGTGATGACTTAGATATCTGAGGAGAAGTAGAAGAAAGGATGGTACCCAGGTTTCTAGTGTGAGCAGTTGAGTGTATGAGAATGCCATCCCATTGATAAGAAAATGAGAAATGTTGTTGGGAATTGATGGGCTCAGTTGTGGGCAAATTGAGTTTATGTTTCATGTGGGATATTGCAATAGAGAAGATTGTACTTTGATAAGAACATAAGTTCTAGAGTCATGCATCCTTTGAGTTAGCATCCTTTCTTTGCCACTTACTAGCTGTGTATCCATATTGTGGAACTTGTTTATTTCTCTTTTCTCTTTTGTAAGTTACGGATAGTTTTGTGATTTTTTTTTTTTTTCTTCAGTAAGCACTCAGCAATGTGGATATAGACAAGGGTATCCCAGATTTGCCCCTTGGCTGAAGTTGTGCTAGGGATTTTTACTAAACATGTAAAGCCAGACTTTTAATACCTGTTAGAATCTTAGCAGGCCCTTATAGAACCGTAGAGCTTCCTGGAGTGGTTAATGTTGTATCCAAGCCTTTTTTTTTTTTTTTTTTTTTGAGACATCATCTTGCTCTGTTACCCAGGCTGCAGTGCAATGGAGTAATGTTGGCTCACCACAACTTCTGCCTCCTGGGTTCAAGTGATTATCCTGCCTCAGCCCGAGTAGCTGGGATTACAGGCGTGCGGCACCATGCCTGGCTAATTTTTGTATTTTTAGTAGAGACGGGGTTTCATCATGTTGGTCAAACTGGTCTCGAACTCCTGACCTCATGACCTGCCTACCTCGGCCTCCCAAAGTGCTGGAATTATAGACGTGAGCCACCGCGCCTGTCTGTATCCAAGCTTTTATCTTTTTTCCCCTCCCCAAATGAAGGCATGAACTAATTATATTGAGATTAACTTTGCACCTGTCTTTAAAAAAAAAAAAAAAGTTATAGGGACAGGGTCTCACTATGTTGCCCAGGCTGGTCTTTAATTCCTGGGCTCAAGCATTCCTCCTCCCTTGGCCTCCCAAAATGCTGGGATTATAGGTATGAGACACCACACCCAGCCAAATTATAGTGTTGTCATAGATGGCTGACTGGCTTGGGCTCTGAGGACCTATTTCATTTTTGCTACAACTATAAAACTGAAACAAATTTTAAATTACAGAATTGTAGAACAAATAAAATTCAAATTAATGAATTTGACATGATTTTTTAAAAAAAATCATTTTTCATCACAATGTGAATATTAATGTTGACGACTTTGAAACATTCCTTTCTGTGTTACGTTGTGTGTCATTTGATCGTAATGCATCATTTGTATATTAGGTTTATTTCTGTTTTTAATAGTCTGTAGCAATTAAAGTAGTGCTAGTAACAATATGGTCTCTGAAATCAAGTGGTAGTATTTGATACATATCATCATCTAGATAACTGAAAATATGCTCAGATTGCATGTTAGATTAATATCAAAATGAAAACATGGAGTATATACATATTTTTTTCCCCATAGCAGAGACAAATGAACATTTATTTTTGTGCCTTTCTTCCTATGTGTATTTCAAGTCTTTTTCAAAACACGGCCCCAGGAATCTCCAGATTCAGTTATATCCTTGGGCCTGGTCAACTGCTACAGGAGTCTTAGGGAGCCTTGTACAAATGCTAGAGTTAACTAATTTACCAACATTAAACCCTAGGATAGAAGATGAAATAAAGCAGTACTCCTTCCTCCATGGAATGTGCTGATTTCACATGAGGTGGCAGCCAATGTAAAAAATGCTGGAATTTTTCCTTGGAACTGGACTCTGATGAGAGGTACTTGCTGCCTCCCGGGTTCAAATGATTCTCCTACTTCAGCCTCCCGAGTAGCTGGGATTACAGTCATGTGCCACCAATGCCTGGCTAATTTTTGCAATTTTTGTAGAGACAGGGTTTCTCCATGTTGGTCAGGCTGGTCACGAACTCCTAACCTTAGATGATCCCGCCTTAGCCTCCCAAAGTGCTGGGGTTACAGGTGTGAGCCACCGTGTCTGGCCAGCTACTACTGGCTTTTCCTAGGCCCTACCTTTCTAGTTTTTGAAGATAAAGCAGGAAATCATCTTCTCTGAAGATACTTGATAAAAATTCTCCAAAAACAAAAACACATGCTTCTACTTGATAAAAATTTACTGCAGTTTGGTACCTGGGTCTAGTTGAGATGGCGGATGAGCTGATTGATGTGTTCACCCTGATAGCAAGGTGTGCCCATCTTCTTGAGGAAGCCCATTCTATTTTTCGTAGCATGATGGGGCCCCTGAGAGGTGGAACGGGCACAAGAACCATGAGATCTGGAAATACTTCCCCAAGAAGGCAATTTCATGAATGAGGTCTTCTAAGCAAATGACATCAAACTTCTCCAGGAGTTCCTCAATCACTGAGTTGTCTGTCAGAGGGATGGTCTTATTCCTGACCTTGGCTTGTCTACGTTTCAAAATGAGTCCCTGGACTGACTTCAGATTTGGAAATCCCCAGGTCACATAAGATTCCACTATATGCAGCATTTTTAGGTTCTGGGGGTGACTGTAAAAGTCACCATGAAAAATTTTATTTAGGTGAAGTCTTACAGTGGTTCTCTGCACCAGTAAACTCATGCCATCCCTCCTTTCAATGCGTATAGCAAAGGTCAAGGAATTTTTATTTGGCAATTCCAAGGCATGAGGTTTTACTTTTTGTTATCTGAGGTACACCTTGTCATGTTTCTGCCACCAGGAATCATATATGAATTATTACAGTCTCTTAAACCTGAGCCCTTTTCCTTTCCTCTGCTCCTCCTTTGCCAAAAGTGGCTGCTTTGCCTGGGTGGCTTTGAGGGCTTCGTGAGCCTTCCTCTTTTTCAGGAGATTTTCTGGAATAAAAGGAATTTTTCTTTGCTCTTGCACTGCCATCTTTCTAGTATCGCAACTATGATCACGCGCAACCCCACCACGTAGGGAAAACAGCATTCGCTGTGTTTCTCTGCCCTCTTTGTTTTCTGCCTTCTTCCCTTTCTTTCCCCCTTTCTTCCCCCCTTCCTTTCCCTTCCTTCTCCCTCCCCTCTTCCCCTCCTTCGTCCCCCCTCTGTTGCCCAGGCTGGTGTGCAGTGGTGTGATCTTGGCTTACTGCAACCTCTGCCTCCCAGGTTGAAACAATTCTCCTGTCTCAGCCTCCTGAGTAGCTGAGATTACAGGCGCATGCCACTGTGCCCAGCTAATTTTTGTATTTTTAGTGGAGACGGAGTTTCACCATGTTGGTCAGACTGGTCTCGAACTCCTGACCTTGTGATCCGCCTGCTTTGGCCTCCCAAAATGCTGGGATTATAGGCATGAGCCACCACACCCGGCTGAGTATACAAGTTTTTACTGAAGAATTGAGAACCCTTATAAGTGTGACCTCAGTTTGAGAGATACTATTATAAATTATTTACTCCACTCCATTTTTTATAATTAACAGTATTATGGACATGAGGCATTTGATAGCATGTAGTGTTGGAGTCTGAGCATATAATTTCTGGGTTTAGATTTTACATACTTTATTAATCTTTTACAGTGCCCACTTTTAGAGGGAGGCATCCCTAGTTTCTTTGAAACTGGCTGTTTTCCTTAATAACTAGATTTACCTCTCTGTAATCCTTAAAGTAAAACTTCATAAAAGTGTTCTTCATTATGGAAACAATATATATGTGGTAAATAGTATAGAATGGCATACCTCATCTGTACTTCTCCTTCCCAGAATTAATCCCTTTATTTTCTGATGTAATAGTTTCCTTCTCTTAGCAATATATTTTCTTCTGTTTCTTGCTATCATTTTATGTATGTACCTCTGTTTCTTATTAACATATTAGTATCTCTAACTACCTGGTATTATGAATTTGACTCACTTGATGAGAAGTGTTCTAGGTGTTTACATGGTCCAGAATTAATTTGTGTTAACTCAGGGATCCAGGACTGTGAGTACTCAAAACTTGATTTGTGTGTAGGCTATAAACGCAAAAGTTAACAATGACTTTTTAAGAAAAAACAAATGTGGAAAAAAAAAACACCACCTGCCTCAGCCTCCCAAAGTGTTGGGATTACAGGTGTGAGCCACCATGCCCAGCCAAAATGCTGCACTTAAATGAGGGAAGATTAATTTCACAAAAAATACGCTATTGATTTAAATAGGTCTCTTTCTATATATAATTTCTCAAACCATATTAGGGAGAAAGTAACTTCCTTGACACTCTTTATACTCTTCAGTCATTGTCCGTTTTTGCTGCCTCAAGGTGAAGATGTGGAAAAAGTTTTGGATGAATGGAAGGAATATAAAATGGGAGTACCAACATATGGTGCAATTATTCTTGATGAGACACTTGAAAATGTGAGTGTAATAAAAGATTTTTATTAAATGGTGATTGTTAGTCTGCTAACAAAATTTATTTATGTAGTGTTCTAAATTGAGGTTTTAAAATATGCTTAGATTTTTAATGCTAAAAGACCAGGTTTTATATATTTTATCTGCATGCTAGGTCTGCAGATTTTTTACTTGTTGCAGTTATGGTGTGCTACAAAAAAGTGTCGCTTTATTGTTGAAAAAATACGTTTTGAAATAAGCAGAATGCTTTCACACTAGTGGTGTATATTCAGACTCATGGAAGATACTTCAACCAAATACTGTGTAAAATTATTGACGATAACAGTTACCTCAAGTAAGAAGAAAAATGCCTTTGGTTTTTAGAAAGGAGCATGGAAAAGGAGGGCAAATTTGATTTTTACTTCTGTTTGTTTTGTAGGTACTACTGGTTCAGGGGTACCTGGCAAAATCAGGCTGGGGATTTCCAAAAGGAAAAGTAAATAAAGAAGAAGCTCCTCATGATTGTGCTGCTAGAGAGGTAAGTTATTCCAATGTGATACACAGTAAATTTGGCTGTTAGGCTCTGAATGTGTGGTTTTTTTTTAGCCATACAGACTTACTTCTTTGGACTGTCTTAACTCTTTCCAGAACTTGAGTGCATGAATTAACTTAAATTTTTTGACAACACTGTTGTTTCTTTTATCTGCATCTCTTTTGATTTATTCTTCTCTTACCTGTTCCGTTTTTTTACTGTCCATTTTGTATTTTGTTCCCTTCTTTGTGATGATATTTTTCCCCACGTTTCCCTTTAGAATTAGATTTGCACTTGGTGAAACATTTTGGCTATTATACTTCTTGTTTTATGTTTGTAATCTTGGCTTTCAGACAAGTGCACAGTTTGGGCTTTTCTAAGAAATTTAAATTTGTTGCTGAAAACCTACTCAAGCTTCCCACTGCCTATAGGATCAAGTTTAATTCTTTAATTATTTAAACTCTGTCTCCCCTCCCCAACAGAAATATTAACAATTTCTGAATTTATCGCATTCTCAGTCAAAACAATTTATTCTCTGTCGCTTGAACTTGACTGATTTGTTTCGGCCTTTAAATTTTTGCCGTTATTTCCCTACCTGGAATGTCCTCTTTTGTTCCTTCCTGCTCAGCTCCTATCTAGATATGTTGCTAATCCCAGCTAAAATCACTTTTCCCTGGAAGACTGCCACTGCCACCAACTAACTCTATGTATAGGGCTTAAGTTTCTTTTCTCTGTCTGTCTGTCTGTCTGTCTCTCTCTCTCTCTTTCCATATATATGTGTCTGTGTGTGTATATATATCTAGCTCTATATCTGTATGTGTGTGTATATAAATATACACACACATACACATATTAGTTTTGGTATAGGATCTCCCTTTGTTGCCAGGCTGGAGTCCAGTGGCACCATTATAGCTCACTGCAGCCTTAACCTCCTGAGTTGAAGTGATCCTTCTGTCTCAGCCTCCAAAGTAGCTGGACTACAGGCATGCACCACCATGCCTAGCTAATAGTTTTGACTTTTTTTTTGTAGAGGTGAAGTCTCACTATGTTGCCCAGGCTGGTTTTGAACTTCTGAGCTAAAGTGATCCCTCCTCTTCAGCCTCCCGAAGTGTTGGGATTATAGGCATGAGCCACCCTGCCTGGCTAGGCCTTAGTTTCTTAAAATGGAGTTTGGAATGGATGTTCTTTGTAGTTCATTCTTTTTTTTTTTTTTCTTTTTGAGACAGGACCTTGTTCTGTCATTCAGGTTGGAGTGCAGTGATGTGATCATAGTGCACTGTAGCCTCGACCTCCTGGCCTCAAGCAATCCTCTTGCCTCAGCCTCCCAAGTAGCTGGGACCACAGTTGCATGCCACCAGGCCTGGCTAATTTTTTAATTGTTTATTTATTTTTATTTTTTAGAGATGGGGGTCTCACTATGTTGTCCACGCTTGTCTTGAACTTCTGGGCTCAAGTGAACTTCCTGCCTCAGCCTCCCAAAGTGCTGGGATTATAGGCATCAGCCACCATACCCAGCCTTCATTCTTATGTAGAATTCTATTTTAAAATCTTACCAATTAGCTGTAGCAAACAGTAGTCTCTGAACTTCAGTAGCAATTACTGTCTTTACTATTCATGTGGCATTAATTGTGTAATACCTTGTGATGGATTGTTTACTGTATTATTATTAATTTCTTACTGTTTATCACACAATTTATCATTTGTTGCACAATTATGTATTCTTGAGATTTGAGAAGTAGAACTACTGTTAATCACACAATTTATCATTTGTTGCGCAATTATGTATTCTTGAGATTTGAGAAGTAGAACTAATAGGAAGTATGAAATAAAGGAAAGCAGATTGGCCTAGGAGTTGAAAGATTTTTGTTCTAGGATAGATTTTGTTACCCAGTACCCTCAGGACTTTAGACTTAACCTCTGTGAGCTATAAAGACCTTTAAGGAGATTCAGTCAAATCCTTTAGAGGTAGTATCTTCAAGGAAAAAACTGAGGTGTTAGTGATTTGAATTTAAGACTTTTTGAAATGGTAATATGGAGTTTGTGGCATGTTTTGTTAGTTTATTGCCTTGAGTGTTTACTGCTTACTTTAAGTTTGGATGTAACTATTAATGAGGGATAACAGTTAAAATTTTTTAAACTGCTGGTGGTTATTTATTATAGAAAAACCATTAGGGGTTATTCACTTTGGAAAAGGATTAAAAAAAAGATTGAAAATGCTGTATTTTAAATTTGTTATGGAACAGGTTTCCCATGCTATTATTTACAACAGCCTATAGACGAAGCTGTTGTCTATGAGTATGAAGATCATTTCACACCCCTTAAAATTGAAAGAGAAGGTGAGGAATTGCCACATACCCGAAGAGCTTTTCTTGGTATAGACGGTAGGAAATGAGACAGAGCATTTGTAAAAGTTTTCCCTTTTATATCCACAAACGTGGTAGTTCTCTTACTCATAAGCAAGGAGAAAATAGAAATCAATAGTATCCTACTTAGAGGAATTGATTGTAGTGCTGTACATGAAATTAGACTGGTTTTACAGCAGTAAGGTGGTTGTCCAGGTAGGAAGAGGATATTACATAAGTTGGAATAATGAAACAATTTCATTTTAGGTTTTTGTCTTGCTTTGGGGAAGTACAGGCATTCCGAGGAACCATAGTCTCTTAATTTCAGGGAAATTTTTTTCTTTTTTATAATAAAAGTTAATGTTAACCTCTAAACATTCTTTTTGATCTCCATGACACCCTTTTATAGCTGACCAAGGAACTTCAATTTCAGTAAATTTTTGGATTAGAATTTTTAAAGGCAAGGCTGACTTTTACTGTTTTTTAAATGACCTGCTTTGTCATAAAGTTTGGGATTAGGGTGAAGTTTTGCTGTTTTAGTCTTCTGGGGCTACTATAACAAAATATCACAGACTGAGTGACTTAAACAATAGAAATTTATTTTGCAACAGTTCTGGAGGCTGGGAACGCCAAGAGCAAGGTGGCTTACAGACTAACACCTTGCTGAGTGCTCTCATGGCCTTCCTGTGTCTGTAGAGAGAGCTCTGGTGTCTCTTCTTCTTCTTGTAGAAATGGCACCAGCCCAATCAGATTAGGCCCCTGCCCTTATGGATCTCATTTAACCTTTATTACTTCCTCACAGCCCTATCTCCAAATACAGTTACATTTTGGGTTAGGGCTGCCACAGATGAATTTTTGGGTGGGGGTACATAATTTAGTCCGTAGCAGTGGTCATTTTTGAATGATAGTATTCAGCTAGAATTACAGTTTGTCCTTCTGCCACTTGGTGGTGCTGCGGTATAAAAGAAGTTGCAAGGCTTGACAAAGTGACACCAGTTGTAAACCAGATGGTTATTCCGTTCTTTATAGTTTATTAATCCTTCGTTTTTCCTTTTCATTTCCACTTGTATTAACAAATAAGGAAAGATTTTGTTGTAATTTTCTGTCTAGTAATTAGACTTAGAATGATGTCTTAAGCACTTTTCTTTTTTCTTGCATTTAAAGTTACAGTTCTACCATGAGTGCTTAAAATTTTTAGTTGCTAATAGGATTTTTATTTAGCTTACTATAGCATTTATGCAGTTATATTAGTGTTGTTGTTTTATTATATATGGCAATCCAGACATGTTTTATTACACTGTAGCAGACTTTGACACATCCCCAAACGGGAGGTTATGTGGCAAACAAGCTGCTTGGAAGGTGTAAGTAATTATCAATAGAAAGCTAAGGGAAAACTGACTTTTTTTTTTTTTTTTAAAGGGCAGTCTTACTTAGTAATTTCAATCTTCTGTTTTACCTTTTGGTTCACCCTTGTTAATTTGACTATTTCTGAACAGTTTATTCAGTGAAACAGATTTAGTACTGTCCAGAGACAAAATCACAACAAATTTAAAGATTGTGAGGGGTTTATTTGTAATTTTAGAAATAGGCAACTTTTGGCCAGGCATGGTGGCTCATACCTGTAATTTCAGCACTTTGGGAGGCCGAGGTGGGTGGATCATGAGGTCAAGAGATCGAGACCATCCTGGCCAACATCATGAAACCCCGTCTCTATTTTAAAAAGTAGTATTCTTTTTTTATTTTTTAATTTTTTATATTGCACTTTAGGTTCTGGGGTACATGCGCAAAGCATGCAGGATTGTTGCATAGGTACATGCATGGCAGCATGGTTTGCTGCCTCCATCCCCTCGTCACCTATATGTGGTATTTCTCCCTGTTATCCCTCCCCAACCTCATTACCCGCCGATGTCCATGCCCTGTTCCCGCTCAACAGACCCCAGTGTGTGACGCTCCCCTCCCATTGTCTAAGAGTTCTCATTGTTCAACATCCATTTATGAGTGAGAACGTGTGGTGTTTGTTTTTCTGTTCTTGTGTCAGTTTGCTGAGAATGATGGTTTCCAGATTCATCCATATCCCTACAAAGGACACAAACTCATTTTTTATGGCTGCATAATATTCCAGGGTGTATGTATACCACATTTTCGTTGTCCAGTCTATCATTGATGGGCATTTGGGTTGGTTCCAGGTCTTTGCTATTGTAAACAGTGCTGCAGTGAACATACGTGTGCATGTGTCTTTATAGTAGAATGATTTATAATCCTTTGGATATATACCTAGTAATGGGATTGCTGGGTCAAATGGAATTTCTATTTCTAGATCCTTGAGGAATCGCCACACTGTTTTCCACAATGGTTGAACTAATTTACACTCCCACCAACAGTGTAAAAGTGTTCCTATTTCTCCACATCCTCTCCAGCATCTGTTGTCTTCAGATTTTTTAATGATCGCCATTCTAACTGGCATGAGATGGTATCTCAATGTGGTTTTGATTTGCATTTCTCTAATGACCAATGATGATGAGCATTTTTTCATATGTTTGTTGGCTTCATAAATGTCTTCTTTTGAAAAGTGTCTGTTCATGTCCTTTGCCCACTTTTGAATGGGTTTGTTTGTTTTTTTCTTATAAATCTGTTGTAGTTCTTTATAGATTCTGGATATCAGCC